ACGCTATAAAACCTAAATTCACAAGTGACTAATTATTATCGCAGGGGCTTCAACAAATAAATTTGTTGGCACGAATCCACAGTCAGCTGAAACTAGCCCAGCTTAGACTCGGGATAAACCGAAGGTTCGTTACAGTGTGTGTGTGTGTGTGTGTACATGCGTTGCTTGCTATTTATGCACAAAGGAAGTGGAGAATGATTGGAGTATCAGCATTTTCGCAGGGATCTGCTTTTTGCAGGGATATCCTAATCGGGCCATGCTAATCAGAGCACTTTAATTTGTTTTCAAAACCTCCTTTGTGGCGTAGCTGCATTTGTGCTTTAGCAGGTTTCTGCTCCATAATGTTGTTGCGATGCGATAGATGCGTTCAGCTTCTGCGTGTCTATTTCTGTCTATATGTAGTGGCACTCTGCTGCATCCACACCAGTTGTCCTTTGACCACACACGGGTCCAACTCTGAGTGCTTGTTTTCCTTTAGTTCCTCAACATTGTAAACAGTGGACGATCATTCGATCTCGGAGGAGGCAGACCAAGGGCATGGCAGTGCGTGATGACAGCATGCATGCAGTGTTTGCCTAACAATGGCAAGCTTCTGTAAAAGTTGCAATAATGTCAGTGCCTGCTGGCTCCTTGTTTAATAAAAATGCTTTGGCTGGAGCCATAAAGTATGCAGCATGCAGCATGCAGCTGTAGCAACGTTGCCTGCCAAAAATGTTGCTTCACCGGCATCGGCATTCCCTCAGCAGCTACTAGCTAGGCAGCTCGGCAGCTCGGCAGCTCGGTAGCTAGGCATCTAGGCAAGTGCAGGCAGGTAGACACAAAATACCTTTGCTAATGATTTTTAATGGCTAAATTGCATGGCAAGCCTTGAGTGGGAGCAGAGCATACTTGAGGCTGGCTGCTGTAGCTGCCAGGCTGCATGGCTGGTTGCCATCATTAGATGATAGGTCCAGCAGCTCGCATGCTTATTAAAAGGGTATTTGTTGCTGGTCTGCCATTGAGCCGGGCCAATAGTGTAGGCTTTCAGCCTCTCATACACGTGCGAACAGAGCCCGATGCAAATTTTAGGTCAATAAATTATGCATGCCACCGACGCAGCCCCAACGAAAGAGGCGTAATGTGAGAGGGCAGGCAGACTTCCCGAAGAGAGAGAGAGAGAGAGAGAGAGATAGAGAGAGAGAGGGCGGGGAAAGAAAAAACAAATTAGTGGCGCTTACTCAACAAGATTGAGTCTGTTTGTGGCTGTGTCATCGTGATGCTCCTGTCTGTGTCGTTGAGAGGCATCCAGTTCTCTCGCCCACTCGACCCCTCGCCCTCGCCGCCTCTGAGCGCTGCGTGCAGCATGCGAGTCAACGTCAACGCAGCATGCAAAAAAGAGGAATTCGAACTTAATTAATGAAAGAGCTT